AGGCTAGGTTACATCGATAAGCCTATAATGGACCCTTTTCACAAGACTGTGATGACGCGTTTAACGGTCATCAGCATCGTAAATCCTCTAAGGTCTTTCATATTTGTATTTTTAAAAAATTGTATGTACATTTATAACACCATTTTTTTTATTATATCACATTTGCATCAAATGATAAAAAAACAAAACAGTTAACGCTAATGCCAGGGTGTTTCTAATGCAGCGTCTATGGGAGGGATGGTAAATTTGACATGGTTCTCTCTTCTGACTGCCGTTATCAGTCTCTCTCAATTTTTTTCCTTTTATTGAAAGTCATGAAAACACTATCGTGGAGTTTTTCTTTTGCTATTTGAGCAAATGGGAATGCAAAAAATATATTTCACTGCTATTCAAGTTAGCTCAACTATGACGACTTCCGCTGCTGAGAAACCCGGAAATGGTGGCAAGTGTCTTTATGATTGAGTTTTTGAACCATTCATTTAGAGGATTCGTTAAAAACACTGATTATTACAACAACAAAAAACGGCACACATGACATACTGAATTCGGAACCGCATAAAAGTACACTACTATTATAATTTACCATATCTTTCTATAGCAGACATAGTAAAAGTAGAGTGGTAGAATGCGGTTCAAAAATCACCAACGGTCTTTATAAGTGATTCATTGAATCATTCATTCGATTCATTCGCAAAAACTGAATCATTCAGGAACGAAACAACACTACTGCGTTGCTCTTCTGTGGATTTTAAAGACAACGTAACTGACAATATTGTGTGGTCTGAACTGTAAGTTACTCAATATTAACTTTTTGTTTATTGAACTGTTGTATAAAAGCAATATCACACTGCCTACTTATTAGGCTATTTCTAAGAAATGGCCCAAACTGCCATTCCATTGCTAATTAATCTAACCTGACGTTTTTGAATTAGCAACGCAGACTTGTTCTATCAGAAATTTTCTTATGTTATATTGTGTGTGTGTGAGTGAGTGTACAGTATATGTTAACAAAGTAGCCTACCTGTTTTTACGATAACACTGCCATAACAAGTGATTTTTACTTGTGATTTGTGATATTGCTGCTTTCATGAAACGTTATTTATATGTAATGCAACTTTCAACTTTTATAATGTATGCAATATATATCTTACATACATTAGCATGTTGTTCAAAACATAATTAATCTAGCTTTATTTAAAATGTAAACTTATAGCCTATATAATAATCCAGGATTGCAGGATGATTACTGGCCATTAGTTGAATGGGTAATTTGAGGATACATTTTTTTCTCCCTTATATAAAATGTTTGTGTAATTAAATTAGATTCATAAAACAAACTCTTTAGCCCCATGGAAAAAGTCAGAGGGCTTCTTATGGCCAGTCCGTTCCTTCTTACATCACATCCATGTCATCTTTCTCTTTTTATCCAGAAGCGTATGTATGGATTTCTTGCATTCAGTGTCTCTCTGCTTTCCATCATAGTTTTCATTTTTGATCGTTTTGTCAGATCTAATAGGCACATACACGTACACGCACTAACACACACACATACGTACAATTCAGAAGGAGCACAGCAGCTGAAGTGAGCAGGAATCAAAGAGACATTGGGGATTTTTAATGGCTCCAAATGGCCATACAGTGGTGACAGTGTAGAATCAACATCCATCCATTATCTCTGTATCCACTTCTAACTCAGCCTTCACGAACACACGCCCGGGAACACTAACACACACACACACTTACACTCAAACACAAGCAAATACAGACAGGTACACGCTCATCCAGAGAAAGTGTGTCACATTTGCTCCGGGTTTTCTGGAATCTCAGGCCCCCTCCTCACTCTCTCGCACTCTCACTTTTTATTGCCCCGTTTCCTCCTCCTCCTCCCTCGTTCTGTGGTGCAGAAATGTGTGAGGATCGCCACAGAGCAGCTGCTGGCAAGAGCTGCAGGTTCAGGCCAAAGAGAAACACATTATCCTGTTCTAAACAGGAAATGTCTTCTTAAATAGCCATAAGTAAAGGCTTCACTTCACAGTTGGGCCCTGGAAACACACAATTTTTTATTTCATGTCGAAAGCCGGCATATGTAAACATAATCACACATAAATCTAAACAGTTATTAGTTCACAGTCTGTCTTTTATATATCCTCATAGCACAGAGAACATTTGTGACCTGGAAATGTTGTGAAGCTTATCTATATTGGTGCATTATGTGCATGTACAGTGGTCCCAAAAAGTATTTGGACACCTTTAAACTTTTGAAATGTATACATGTCATGAGATAGCAAACTGATGCTAGTAAAACTAAGTAATGCTAGATTCTAGACCTTTTTTTAATTGTTTTAACTTATAAATATAGAATATTTATAGAATAATATATTTTATATTATATTATATATAATAAATAAATAATAGAGAATATAAAAAATAGTAATAGTACCTTGTAGAGAGAGAGAGAGAATGTTGTGATATATTTATAGTTTTATAATAATTAGGAATAATTATATATTGATATAAATGTATAAAAATATTTTTGTATTATACTATAATGCAATATTTTACCAGACAGATCCTCACAAATGATCATTTTTTTGTTTTTTGAAATGTATGCTCATATTTTTCTAGGCATTGTGTTGTACATATGAGTGTAATTTATTTATCAAAAAAACAAACAAAAATAAAACAATATAGGCCGGAAAGATCCAATCGGAAGATTGAAAGATCCAGTTATGACATTTTGTTTAAACATTACAAGGTCAAAAAAATTAATGGATGAATCGTTCACAATAAGATTTATAACATTTTCAAAATAGATAGAGTGAATTTTCATTCCATGCTGACTTAAAATAAATGCCACCTGGTTTGATATTTTATCATATAATGCAATTACATTTTTCATGCATTTTTAAGTGTAGCTTAAGTGTCCAAATACTTTTTGGGGCCACTGTGCTTGTGTATTTTCCGTATGCCGCTTATGAGTTGTAATGGCCCTGGTTTTGTGTTCGCCTGCCCATGAGTGAGCGGACTGCACACAGACAGTGGCTATCCACATGAAAGCCTTCACTGTCCCCACAATCTCGCCTTTGTTCTTACACTGGTCTGATCAAGGGCAGTCTTTGTGAGCTCCCTGTGCCCTGTCTGCGTGCACTTTCAAGGGGATATTTCTCTTCCATGTCTACTCCTTTGCTTTCTTCTCTCTCTGAAATTTAGCTCTGTAATTCTTGCCTTTTTCCAGGTAAATGAAAAAAAGAGGCACACGCGATTGATGTGTTTGGCGGTTGTAGGGGACGCGGTGGTGTGGACAGAGGAAAGTGGTTGAGGAATAAAGCTGTGTCTTCCCTTTGTCATTACATCCTCCTCCCCATTTGTTTTCTTTTTCAAGTGTCCTGAAACAACAGTGCGGCTCTTTATTTTCTGTAATGGTGCTGCTTATTTACTGTGAGTCATTGACTTTTTGCCAAAGCCACATTTTCCAGCAAGTTTTGAGCTGTAAACCGCACCAAAGGAGGGATGGAGTGGGGGTCATTCCTGCAGTGAGTGTAAATATTTGGGCACGGAGCACATAGTGGATGGCACTTTGTGTTCACGAGAAAGGAGTGGCATTGCCTTTGGACACAGAGCGATAAAACCATTCCCCTCTGTGCTCCGGCGCAGGAACTAACCCTTTACCCAGCTCTCCTTCACTGCTTAATTAGCTCTTATGTTTAGATGAAGCCCACAGATAGGCTGCAAGGGGAATAACTAGCACTCTGGGTCTCATTGCGGTGACTCAATATTCTGATCAGGTCTATTGTCTGTATTTGAAGATGCTACAAACAGGTGGTCTGGTCAGGCAGAATGAAACTAGATTTTTACATTTGCACAACTCGCCAACATGACACTGCAGTGTTCTGGGTGGCTGCTAGGGCATTTCTGTGTGGTTGCTAGGGTGGCCTGGGAGGTTGCTAAGGCATATCTACATGTTTGCCAGCAGGGCTGAAATGATTAGTCGGCATATAAAAAACGGTCGATTAGTAATTTTTGTCAAATAGTCATTTGATCTCATATGACATAATGTAAATACCTGCAATAACGTGGTTTGACCAGTGTGGCGCTGTAGCAGAAGACTGTATTCAGCCCTCCCGGCTGCAATCCAACAGAAGACACGCTCATTAGAAGTGCAAACGAAGCCAAACCAGTAGAGTGAGTGTAGGAAAGCTGTCATGTGTAAAGGCCTCAATATACTCATGGCAAAGTTCTTTTCCATTCTTCGGTTAGGTGTAATAAAAAGAAGTTCCGTATATGCAGGCAGCGATTTATTGTTAGCGAACTTCCCGACATTGCTGAGAGTGAGAGTTTAGATGAATGTATAAATATAAGATGCATGCTTTCCTCTCAATAACAGAGTAAACGCACAGCAAAAATGACAGTGGTGAGAAAACAGCAGTTAAGAAAGCATCTGATCATAGGCCTGAGGATATGTTTGCACCAGCTCTGCAATCGGCGCTCCAGTAAAGTCACGTCACATTTATTTATATAATACTTTATGCAATAGATTGCTTTAAAGCAAGCAGCATTACAGGATTAAACATGGAAAAAAAACTGTGTAAGTGTCGCTTTCAGTTTGAATTAAAACTTGATTTTCTGCTATAAAGCAGCTCTAAATGTATATGAATGTGTATAATATGTAAAACTCAATATTTTAACAAATTGCAAAAGTTGAATAATCAGACAAAACCTACTGATTAATCAGTGGAATAATCAACGATTAGTCGATTAATCATTCCAATAACCATTATATTAATCAATTATCAAAGTAATCGTTTGTTGCTGTAGACCTTGTCAGAGAAACAAGTTTTTGTGTTGAAGAGTAATTAGCCAGTGAAGTGAAATTCCTTATCGTAGAGTTAACAGAAGTTATCATAAGCATTGTAATATTCGAAGCGGATGTCATAACAAATGTCAGTAGACCTGGAAGATTTTAAAACGAGCTGTTCATTAATAAATTCAAAAGATCTTACCTTCATGCTGTGGAAATTAGAAACTTGAAGACAGAAGACAACGAGCACAGTGTTGAAAAGGGTCGGGGCTACATAAAGTCTATAGGATTGCTAGAATGTTCTGGGTGGTTGAAAGAACATTTCTGTGTGGTTGCTAAGGGGTTCTGGGTGGTTGCTAGGGCATTTCTATGCCGTTTCTAAAGGGTTCCTGGTGGTTGCAAGAGCATTTCTGTTTGGTTGCTAATGTTCTAGAACAGGGATCTCCAACCCTGCTCCTGGAGAGCTACTGTCCTGCAGATTTCAGCTCCAACCCCAATCAAACACACATTGAACCAACTAATCAAGGTGTTCAGGGTTACTTGATTACATGCAGGTGTATTGGAGCAGGGTTGGAACTGAAGTCTGAAGGATGGTAGCTCTCCAGTAACAGGGTCGGAGATCCCTGATGGTTGCTGGGTTATTTCTAGAGGCTATGGGAATGTTCCATCCATTTTATAATCTGTCAGATGAAAGTCACAAGTCCAATAGTTTTTTTTTTTTTTTTTTTAAGTAATAACACTCTCCCTCAACAAGCCACAGAGTTTGAGTTATCTTGAGTTACTCTTGTCTGTAACACAAACTGTGTGGGACATTTTTATTTAAATGTCTGTTTTGAGAAGCTTTTTTTTTATTTGAAACAGCAAGTAATTAGTTATGCCAAAGTTTAATACTTGAGGTTAGAGGTTTAGTATGAGCGATAGTAGTAGTGGTGCTATGGCTAGCACTACGAATATGTAAAATGCACATCGATTAAAAGGTTTTTATGAAAGCCAGCAAGCATGTAGTGAACATTTGTGCCCTGAACATCGCAAAATTGATTCAACCACACCCTAAAGCAATGCTGTACATAACCACCTCCATAGCCTATATCTGGACAAAAAGAAAATCAGACCTCGGATTGTCCACGGGGACTGTTTAGTGCAGTTGGAGCCTATTCTGTCAGTAACTATGATTATCAGCTTGCTGAGGTCATGCTACAGAAAGAAGACGGGCCTTGGGGTGTCAGAGGTGGGGCGCATATGCCCACAAGGTATATGGACCTGCACTTCTACAACATGTGGGTGTACTTATATGCGACCTTACCAGAGTCACCCCAGCCCTGCCTACCAGGGTTCTAATCATAGTCTCCATGTCCTCAAGCTACACGATGTGGTCAGCAGACATTCTGGCTGCAGCCGAGAAACTTCAGCTGCCCGCATAATTTTCTCCTTTTTTAACTGAATCTCGCCAGTGACCCCGGCCTGGCCTCTCGCTCACCCTGGCCTCCGCACTTCTAGCACCCGACCAAAATAGAGAGAAAATAAAACTAGAGAGACTCTAGTACAACGCAGACTTCCAGAGTTCAGCCAAACATTTTGTATCAAGGCAATAAATCTGAATTGTTATTGTTCGTCCTACTATTTGCAAGTACACGTCTGTGTGTCAGAGCGGCGCTGCATGCGCAAGCCACAGGTTGCACATTTGGTTTTAATTGCGGCCGTTTCAGTCCAGGGCAAATGGAAAGCACATGGAAACCCCTCCACCTGCCTTGAGTCAGCTACTGACAGAAACACAGCAAATCACACTGACAAGAGGAAGGGAGGCACTGAAAGAGAGAAAAAAACAATAGTGAGTTTATAGAGGGCGTGTAGTGAATAATTAATGATGGATCTGAAAGGAAAATAATCTTTAAAAGGTATCAGAACAATTAAGGCTTCAAGACTAATAAAGTGCAAGCGGACAAGTTGGTGCAGGTAGGGGGCGCTGTAGGGTCTGGGTTTTTCATTGGCCCCAAAGGATCCTTGTGTGCAGTTTGGAAATATGCCTATGCCTGGCTGCCTTGATAAGAAACACATGCAATTCAGACAAAGAGACTCCGCTTGTATGATTCCCTCTACTGAGGTGAGAACATAAACAAGCCGATTCAAATTAAAGAAGCCAGTGTCAAAATATTTAAAAACCCACCCAACCTGGGCTGAACCGATTTCAACAGAAACAAGACCCTTGCCTTCTGAGATACCGGCCTAGATGCTTGACAAAAAAGACTCTTTCTGATCTGGCAACAGAAGCAAGTGATGAAAACTGTTTTATGGAAAGATAAAACTGTAAAGTGATTACAAAGAGTAAGAAAAAATATGACAGATTTCCATCAGCTTATTGTTATCAGAAATGCCTTGGAATGACCTTGATGTGCAGTTCAAATCATGCACTGCGTTTTATGTAGACAGGTATAGGGAATGGTTCCTGCATTTCATACTTTGAACCTTTACTATTTAAAGGTGCCATAGAATGCAAAAATCACTTTTATAAGGTGTTTTAACACAGTTGTGTGGCCGCAGTGTGTGAAAACAACCAGCCTATAATGGTAAAAATCCACCCACTCATTGTTTTATAATCCCAATAAATCATAAACAGTCTCTCCACACTAGCAGTTCCAGATTTCTCACTACTATGACGTCATACTCGGGGAAAGTCCCGCCCATTTGTGACTCTCTGCCCTATTAGCATATACACAGTAGTGATGCAAAGTCCGATTCATTTCCGCGAACCGGTTCTTTTCGGACAGATTGGCTCATTGAACCGGTTCAAAAAGCCGATTCATCGGTTCCTGAGGTCATTAAGCAATAACGTCTCTTCGCATTTCTTTTCTAACAACTCAGTGCCATGTTGTATCAATGAAAAATTCAAATAAGTCATTTGTGTCAATGCATATTGAAACATTCAAAAATAAAGTTAATTGTGTGAAAGCATATTGGTGATTATTGCCATATAATTCACTTAAGTTAATGGTGTTTGTGGTCACAGTTTCATTCGCGGATCCTCAGATACGACTGCCTGAGCAATATTGACAAGCCTACAACTTGGATAAGATTCCTTAAAGTTTAGCACCTACAGCACACTTTACAGACATTGATGCACAAACACGGATATGTTCTACATATCTACAGTATAAAGAATGAATAAACCAGTCTTATAAACTCCTTGATTTCGCTTTTAGCAACTTTAAATATAATATGCATGCACAATAAACTATTGTAAAAATCACTCGACAAAGGCTTTTGCAGGTTTTAATAAAATGTAAATTAATAACAGTCAGTCTAATAAACAAGCATATTTTTAAAATATTGTATCAATGCATTCTATGGCACCTTTAAAGGTCACTGGCATTTTTACCCTCCATGCATAATGCATGCTTTTTTCATATGAAGAACATCGTGTGTTGTGTTACCATTTACAGAGGCAGAAAGTTATCATCTGTGAGGCTAAAGTGTTTTTACTACTAAAAATAGTGTCTGTGGGAAAAATGTCTATTTGCCAGCAAGTTTCATTCATGCTGGGTTTGACTAACTATGAACAAGCAACCTTTTACAACAGGTCACGGATTTGAAAAGTTCTTGGAAGCTTTTTGGAAATTGGAATGCACATACTTTTTCCAAGTCTGTCACATAAAGTGTATTCTGCACACTGACATACAACATGCTTAAGGGCTACAAATACTTAAATTTTTTATTTTTCTTTCCAAGACTGGCTTGTAAATGCCGTTTGCCATGTAAGCCCGTTTCCGCAATAGAAAAGAATATTTATGTATTTTATTACCGTGACAGAGTACAGTAATTGTGACTTTATTTCTCACAATTGCATCTTTTTTCACATAATTTTTATTTTATATCTCACAGTTATGACTTTGTATTTCATAATTTCAACTCTATTTCTCATGGCCGTAACTGCTGCAATTGTGACTATATTTTAAAATGTGAGTTTACATCTCACAATTGCAACTTTATATCTCATAACTGCAACTTTATTGTAATTGTGGCTATGTTTTGTAATGTGACCTTACATCTCACAGTTGTGACTTTATTATACTTTAACTCACAATATGATGTTATATATCAAAATTGTAACTTTTTACTTTAAAAGTATACATTTGTTTCTTGCAGTTATAACTTTATATCTTAAAATGTTACTATATTTCAGTTGTGAAATTGTGATTTTTAACTGCAGCTTAATTGTAATTGTGACTGTTTTAAAATGTGACCTTACATCTCACAGTTGTGACTATATTATACTTTAACTCATAGAACATGATTTTATATCTTAAAATTATAACTTTATACTTTAAAATTGTAAATTTGTTTCTTGTAATTGACTTTATATCTCAAAATGTTACTATATTTCACAATTGTGAAATTGTGATTTTTTATAACTGCAGCTCAATTGTAATTGCAACTATTTTAAAATGTGACTTTGCATCTCACAATTGCAACTTTATTTCTCATGACTGCAACTTTATCATAATTGTGACTTTGACTTTGCATCTCACAATAACTAACTCACAATAAGATTTTATATTTCAAAATTGTAAATGTATAATTTAACAATGTTAATTCATTCATTGTAATTGTGACTTAATATTTCAAAGTGTGACTATATTTCACAATTGTGAAATTGTGATTTCTTCTAATAACTGCAGATTTTTATTTATTTATTATTGTGTGGAAACAGGCAAAACCCAGTAGTGAAAAATCTAATCTAATCTATGCAATCACTTTGTGCAATCACAGAGTGTCTTATTTAACTATATTAAAATTGGAGTAGTTTCTGCATTTTTTTCTGGCTACAATTATCTTAAACTCAACTTAATTAGGGGGCACAAGGAGAGCTTGCATTGCGTCCGGGTCTGGCTGCGTACATGACTGATCCCTGTGATCCTCTTATCAGTGCACCCCGGTCTCATGAAAATGCATATAAATAGTACGTCAAATAAAAACGAAAACTTGTGGTATTGATAACGCAAAAATGGACTTTGGCGTGCATATGATACGCATGTGTTTGGCGTGCATACGCAGAACCATCGCGGCCGCAAATATCCGATCAAATGGAACACCACGAACAATATAAACATCAGAAATAGCAATAGCATTCATAACATATAATAACTGCATACAATAGTGTTCAGACTTACTTGTATTATATGAACACATTACAGAAAACATAGCAGCAGCATAAACAAAGACAGACAGCGGTCTTCACTGGCAGGTAACACTAATAATCGTCCCTCTAGGAAACATGAAATGAACTTTAGTTCCTAGTTCCTAAAATAGGCTTTCTGACACAGCCGCCCCCAATTATCTGGCAAGATAATTGAATACTCTAAGAAAGTCTATCGGGGGTGCTCGTGTCATTGTCCTCAAGATGAGGAAGAGGGATCAATCGCACAACTGGACGAGTGTAAGTTTTGTCTTTAACCTTGACTCTGACGATACGAATTCTACCGTCA